ACACACGGAGAAGATTTTTAATACAGACATCTCTTTAGTCTAGAAGACAACGGCTACTGCAATCTCATGGCTACAAACTGAAGCTAGACAAAATGTGACTAGAAATAAGATGCATATTTTTAACAGTTATTATTAATTAACCAGTGGAACAACTTACCTAGAGAGATGGTGAATTCTCCATCACTTGAAGACTTTAAAGTAAAAAAAATGGTTACTAACCTTTCCATAACTGTTGTTCTTCAAGATTTGTTGCTCATATCTATTCCACTTTAGGTGTGGTGTGCACTGCGTGCACCACGTGCACCATTGCTGGAGATTTTTCCCTCAGTGGTATCCATTGGGCTGGCTCTAGCACCCTCTTGTGGTGCACACTCATGCGCCAGTATAAGGGGACCGGCTGGCCCCGCATCCTCTCAGTTCCTTCTCGTTGGCTAACTCTGACAGGGGGCAGGCGGGTGGGTCATGGAATGGACATGAGCAACGCATCTGGAAGAACAACAGTTACAGAAAGGTTAGTAACCATTTTTAATTCTTTGAGTGCGTGCTCATGTCCATTCCATGTTAGGTGACTCACAAGCAGTATCCAAGGAGGTGGGCACAGAGTTCATGGACATGCAGATTGAAACACTGCTCTTCAAAAGTTGGCACCATCTCTAGCCTGCTGAGTGATGGCGTAATGGGAGGGGAAGATACTGACGACCAGGTCGCTGCTCTGCAGATGTCTTGGATCGGGACTTGGGCCAGGAAAGCTGCTGCTGAAGCATGAGCTCTTGTTGAATGAGTGGTCAAAATGGCAGCAGGTGGAATGCCCGCCTGCTCATCACACACATGAATACAGGAGGTGATCCAGGACGACATTCTTTGGGATGAAACCGGTAGGCCTTTCATCATGTCTGCTATTGCCACAAAGAGCTGCCCGGGTTTGGTCCTCTCAATGTAGAAGGCCAGGGCACATCTAACATCCAACAAGTGGAGATGCCACTCCTCTGCATTCCTATGCTCTTTCGGGAAGAAAACTGGCAGGAAAATAGCCTGGTTACTGTGAAACTGCGAGACCCCCTTTGGAAGGAACGCTGGGTGGGGGCGCAGTTGAACCTTGTCCTTAAAGAATACTGTATATGGGAGTTCTGACATAAAGGCCCTAATTTCGGAGACCTTCCCCTCGGTAATCACTATTAGGAAGGCAAGAAACATCAAGAAACACTTCCACTTGGCTAGATAAGTTGCTCTAGTAGATAGTTTCCTACTACCTAGCAAGATCTGGCCAACTTGTTCTGAACAGGCCTGTTTCTTCAGGTTCAACTATGGAGCTTCCATGCAGTCGGGTTAAGGACCCAGAGGTTTGGGTGGAGTAAATGGCTGTGGTCTTGTGAGATCAGGGCCAGGCAGGGTGGAAGTGGCAGCAAGGGCACTAGTGACATGTCCAGCAGTGTCCGTCTCATTGGCCACTGTGGCACAAGGAACCATGGAAGGAGGGTGGAAGTACAAGAATTCGTGTCCCTTGGCAGGCACATAGTACTTCTTCTCTGCCCTCTTTCAAGTGGGAGGAAGAGAAGATGGGGTATGCCATAAGGATCTGACCATACCCATAATGGCTTCATTGACAGGTAGGGTCTCCTTTGACGGGGCTGCTGTGGCCAAAGTGTCAATGAGGCTATGTGAGGACTCTTTAAGAACCCCCACCCTCCAAGTCTAGGTTAGAAGCCATCCTTTTAAAAGCTTGTGGTAGGCATTAAAGTCAGCCTGGGGAGGAGGAGGAAAAAGCCTGTACCAGCAAGGGGCCCTCCTCTTATTCTTCAGCCCCAGCTATTTCCCCCCAGGCCTAAGTCCTGTGTGTCAGTACCAGGCTCAGTACCAGAGTCTGGGTCTGTTGCCAGATTGTGAGTTGGAGGAGCCCTCCTCTCGGACAGTACCATGATTCTGCTGGCACCACGATGATGGCCTGGCATCAGCAGATGGTCCTGCACTGGACTCAATGTCATTTGCGATTAGCGATGAGTTGATGGTGCTGCTAACGTGCAGTGGAGGTGTAGCCTGACATGGGTTGTACTCCGCTGCACTCCCCTTGTTTGTCCTTCCTCAGTACCAGGTAGCATCCCCTCTCAGACCGTTGCTTCTTATGCTTCTTTCTTGGTATCGGAGATGGAGAATGGTGCTGAGAAGCATGCAGTGCCGGAGATACTCTTTGCATCAAAGCCGAGGTGCTCGTAGCTGAGTCCAATCGGTTTGGCTCTGACACTGGTTTAGGTGCAACTTCCCTTAGGATAGCCTTTAGTCTAGCCTCCCTGTTCTTCTTTCTATGAGGCTTGAAATCCCGGCAGATTTGGCAACACTGTCACATGTGCACCTTTCCCAGACACTTTATACAGCTGGAGTGCGGGTTGCTCACTGGCATACGCCTGCTGCAGGAGGCGCAGGGTTTGAAGCCTGGAGACTGAGGCATTCCCGGCTCCAGGGGTGAAAGAAGCCCCTCTAAGCTAAGACGGGTAAGGGGGGGGTCTAACTACACCTCTACCCCAATATAACGCAACCCGATGTAACACAAATTCAGATATAACGTGGTAAAGCAGGGCTCTGGGGAGGCGGGGCTGCTCGCTCTGGCGGATAAAAGCAAGTTCGATATAACGCGGTTTCACCTATAACACGGTAAGGTTTTTTGGCTCCTGAGGACAGCGTTATATTGGGGTAGAGGTGTATATACACTAATTCTATCTAACTATGTACACTACTACATGAAATTAAGACTAATATAACTAATCTAGAGAATAACAGGAAAAAAAAGACTGAATGACCGCCTTGCCAAAGCAAGAGGAGCTGTTCTAGCTATGGTCACGGGTGGTAAAAAGGAACTGAGAGGGTGCAGGGCAGGCTAGGTCCCTTATACTAGTGCATAAGCTTGCAGCACCAGAGCTGGCCTGATGGATACCACTGACGGTAAATTCTCCAGCAATGGTGCATGTGATGTGTGCACACCTAACATGGAGTGGACATGAGCAAGCACTCAAAGAACTAGAAGTTCTTCTAAAATTCAATCACATGTTGGCGTGTCTATAGCTCAACCACAATTTATGGGCTTGCTGCAGTGACAACCGAGTGAAATTCTATGACTTGTGTTATGCATCGAGAGGTCAGACTAGATGATCATAATGGACTAATCTAGACCCCTTTCGCATAGTGACTCTCAGTCAGTCTGGCAAATATCTAATTCCTAGAATAAGGGATTGATAGATTATCCTTTCAACTCTTCGGAGTTTTCACATCTCATGCTACCTTGACAACAGTTCTATCTGCAAGATGCTGAACCCGATCATCCTCTCACAGCAGTTTTACACCATTGTAATTGAGAGAAGAAATGGGCCCACTAGCCTAAGGATTGCAAGCAATTGTTCTCCTCCTCCAAAACTGATCATCTACTATACACATTGCCTTTTGTCTTTGTACTTGACCAATGTGCAACACACAGATAGCTTCAACAGGGAACCTGTTCTACTGTGTGCCAACACCTGTGCTACAAGGAAGGAGAATGGAGGGGCAAAGTATCATACTATGTATGTAAGGAGAAACACTGTGGGAAAAAGATTTGAAAATGTATTCTGAGATAACATACCCATCAATATGTGGCTAAGGCAGAAATAAGAAGAACCACAGAGGTCAGAGATTCAGTCCACTCTCTGTGGGCTGGTTTGTTCCCTATATTCTCCAGTGCTTTTCCCATCACTTCTCGAGAGACACTATTCCACAGTCTAACAGATCTTGTTGTCAAGAAGTTTTTTCTGCTATTCAGCCTATGCTTTTCTTTTCTTCATTTCACCTATTGCTCCTAGTTTGTCACCTCTTCAGAGCTCTATTTACAGGAATTATAAAACAAACGTCTCCTGCTTTTCATATATGCATTTTTTAATTAAAAGTTCTATGCAATCATGAACACTAACAAAATGTTACTGTGATAAAACTTTCCTCCCTTAGGATGCTCATGCTGTATGAAGGATATGAATTCAGTTATCTGCAGAACTGAGGTTAGAAGAGCAGTGCAAAAGAGACAGTGCAGCAACTTTTATTTAAAACACAAAGTTTTAGTCTTTCCCATCCCTTTGGGATAGAGACTGTGATAGCAGCCAGGGTTTTTGCAACCAAAGGCTGGATAAGAGTTTGTTCCTCAGCTGCCCTCAGTCATTACTGTTTGGTTTGGAACAGGTAAAATAAACAGTGTTTACAAAATATTTCTCAGTAATGGATTAAAAAAATATATTTATAACATGAAACACATTTTCACTTTAAGCTTTAATCATATGCCTAAATTCTTTGCTAGTATCCCTTTAAACTCGTTCCTCCCCAAACACTAAAATACATTTCTCTCCTTATTAGTGGGATGTTTACCTTATTTGGAAGAAAGCAAAATTAGCCCTAAAAATTCACCACAGACCCCAGCTCCACACAGCAAGCTCAAAGCTACCATTTGTGAAGTTAGTAAGCTTAAAGGTTTTGGTGGCTAAAGTTGTTGCATTCCTAGTGGAGACTGATCTCTAAATGAGCCAACTGGCAGACTCTCTCATGCAGAAAGCTGAACAAGACTAAGGCTACTTTTATTTACTGCAAAAATAATAACAGATGTAGAGCGGACAAAACAGAACTTGTGCTAATCCAGCAAGTGTTCTTTGGTCTTTTACCTCTCTGTGCTGAGATCCAGGGTTCACTGGTCAGAGCTCTACTTGAGTATCATCTAATCCAAATCCATTTTAACACAATGATTCAGGGCTGGCATAACCCACTTCTTCCCTTATGTGACATCTGACTATGGAGATCACTTTACATTCCTGACATCCAGACCACAAATAAAAACTCTAGTTCCTCTGCTAATAAAAGCTCCACAAGAGCTCGCTCAGTTATATTTAGAGCAGCTGATGTGTGTTTCATTTATCAAGTGCAATTGCAGGTGGAAAAGAAACACAGTAGTGTGTGAAAGAGATGGAATAGAGGAGAAAAAATGTCCATTTATTTACCTTGATCATTAGGCATTTTATCTGAGGATTCAGCTACCAGGACAAGCACAGGGGAGTAAAAAACAAGAGAAAGATCACCAGGTCTGAAGAAGTGACAGGCAGTATTTAAAGAACTTCACACAGCAGAAAAAAACTAGTTAGAGATTTAAACTTCCATTTTTAAACACCAAAATTCACATAGAAACCATACTGCTAGATATTAAATCGACACATACCTTTTTTTGCAAGGTTATTTTTCACTTCTCCTTACAGATATTATCTACATTAACATCTGTCCTATACAATGATTTCTCCACGTTTCCTTAATTGGTACATATTTTCAATGTCTTGTTCCTTCCTACCCTTTCACCAGTTACCCATGAACAAGCATCTCTTGATTAAAGAGGCAGTTATATCATACTTGTTCAGGTTATATCATCCATGACATTAACATGTAATTGTTCGCAGACCAATAAGAACTTATTTGCAAATCCTGCTGCCTGTACTATTGGGCAGATGCAACACACTGCACCTGAAGTCTTTAGGTAACTAGAAGTCAGTTTTTCTGAAGCTCACTTACGGCACTGACTATGTAATAACAGCTTGGTGACATATGGGCCAATAATTAATTTAAAAATAAATCTCCACAAACATATGGGTTTAAACTGGGTTATGCGATTGTTTCCAGCCAAGAGCTGCTGGAAGAATGAAGAGAAAACATCTTCCCTAATCAAACTTCATCTTTTCCTCCGCAGCCCATATTCAATACAGAATTGATGCTCCCAGTTGCTTTTCTTACAGGTATTTTAGGAAATGCTGGAGAACATACATGAGACTTTACCTTTGGGTGTTCTGAACTGTACTGCCTCCGACATAGGCCCCATGCCCTTGGAGTTGCGGGCCTGGATTTTGAAATAATATGGCGTATCAAGGGTTAACTCTTGGATCTGGTGTGTCAATCTGTTTCCCACCACAGGCTCAATGACCCAATCATGTATCTCAGCGTTCACATCTGTGCTGTAGTAAATGATGTATCCTGTTCAAAGGTACCAATAAGATAAAATTTATGCATTAAAGGGTGGGATTTTTGTTGCTCCTTAAATGACTCCAGAGCACAGTTCCTATTGACATTAGATGGAATAGGTGCTCTTAAACCACTGAGGGGCTTTTGAGAACCGCAACCTCCTTTGTTTCAATATATAAGCATTCATTTAAATATTAGATACACATCCCATGGGAAATTTTAAACCATTGTATTATATCATAAAGTATAACAACGTCACTTAAAATATCAAAATGATCCTACATTCAATTATAGAGAATTCCATTATTTCCATCTTCTTTTCCAATCATATGAAAACAATGTAAAATAATAATTTGAGGACTATTATAAGAATGTTCCCTCCTCAAATATTAGCAGTTTAGAGAAAAATGATAGCTTTAAAAAAAAAAAAAGTAGTTACAACTTTTTGCTATCTCTCAGTTTATATTAACAACGAAAAAATGTAAACCTCAAGAGAATTGCATATTGCCTGTAAAGGTATATTAAATCAACATAATCTTTTATTGAATATACTGTATGTATGGCACCATGATGAACTGGCAACATGACTATAATATATAATATATTTAATGACAGTGAATGGGTAGAAACAACGGCATAAAATAAATACTCATTAACAAATACAGGGCTAAACATCAGTAGCTCTATGCACCTGCAAAAGGGGATATCTGATGTCCCCTTTCTCCCTGGCATGGACTAACCGTACCATGAGTAGAAGAGTGGAAGGGGTTGCGTACTCTGCAGAGCTGTAACTTCCTCTCCCATGCAGGTGGGTGACACCCACCTCTATTCCCCGGGCTGGTCCCGTGCAATGCAGCTAAGATCTGCCCTAAGCAAGGAGCAGCATGTAAAGTGGCAATCAAACCCAGAGATTAATGCAATTGAAGACAACACTCTTTATTTTTGTCTCAATTAATTGGTTGGTATTTTCAATATATTGTACAACAAAGGCCTGTAGAACCCAGAAATTGCATTTCTTAGGCCTGGTCTACACTAGCAGGTTATGTCGAATTTAGCAGCGCTAAATCGAATTAACTCTGCACCCGTCCACACAACAAAGCTATTTAGTTCGACATAGAGGTCTCCTAAATTCGACTTCTGTACTCCTCCCCAACAAGGGGAGTAGCGCTAAATTTGACATGGCCATGTCGAATTAGGGTAGGTGTGGATGGAAATCGACGCTAATCGCTCCGGGAGCTATCCCACAGTGCACCACTCTGTTGACGCTCTGGACAGCAGTCCGAGCTCGGATGCTCTAACCAGCCACACAGGAAAAGCCCCGGGAAAATTTGAATTCCTTTTCCTGTCTGGGCAGTTTGAATCTCATTTCCTGTTTGGACATCGTGGCGAGCTCAGCAGCACTGGCAACGATGCAGAGCTCTCCAGCAGAGATGGCCATGCAATCTCAGAATAGAAAGAGGGCCCCAGCATGGACTGATAGGGAAGTCTTGGATCTGATCGCTGTGTGGGGCGATGAGTCCGTGCTTTCCGAGCTGCGCTCCAAAAGACGGAATGCAAAGATCTACTAAAAGATCTCTAAAGCCATGGCAGAGAGAGGATACAGCCGGGATGCAACGCAGTGCCGCGTGAAAATCAAGGAGCTGAGACAAGGCTACCAGAAGACCAAAGAGGCAAACGGACGCTCTGGATCCCATCCCCAGACATCCCGTTTCTACGAGGCACTGCATTCCATCCTAGGTGCGGCCGCCACCACTACCCCACCACTGACCGTGGACTCTGAGGACGGGATATTGTCCACGCCCGCTTCCTCTGAGATGGTAGTGGACGGGGAAGAAGAGGAAGGAGATGAGGAGGACGAGGCAGTCGACAGCGCTTACAACGCTGATTTCCCAGACAGCCAGGATCTCTTCATCACCCTCACAGAGATCCCCTACCAACCGTCCCCCGCCGTTAACCCGGACCCAGAATCAGGGGAAGGATCAGCCAGTAAGTGGTTTAAACATGTAAAAATTTATTTATAAAAGAATATAAATATTAACTGTGGCTTTTTCATGATTAGACTGTCCTAGGCACTTAAAGTTCTAGTCTTTGGCAGTGCAACTGCTGCAAAAAAATCTAACAATGTCCGGTAAATCTTGATTGGTTTGCCCTAGGCGCTGTACTGTTTAGCCCTTGACAGAGCAGCTACAGTAAAATTCGGTCAATATATCCGGGGATAGAGCAGAAATCCTCATGGGACATCTCCATGAAGCTCTCCTGGAGGTAATTGGAAAGCCTTTGCATGAGGTTCCTTGGGAGAGCGGCCTTGTTGTGTCCTCCGTAGTAGGAAACGTTTCCGCGCCAGGCTATCATCAAGTACTCTGGGATCATTGCCTTGCACAGCATGGCGGCATACGGCCCTGGTCTTTGGAGGCTTTCCCGAAGCATGCGTTC